CACATAATATGAATTTTTCGGTTCAAATTAAAAAATTTAAATCAATAAAATTAAAACCAGTGAACCAAACAAGAGCTTAGTTGCTCTCATCTTAATACTGATGTGAAAATAATCTGTTATACACTCATTGACAATTAATAATAATAATAATAATAATAATAATAATAATATTGCACATGGAGTTAATATGCATGCCACTTAATAATGCTGTTGTAGAGATACTACTTTAACAGTACATATACGTCTAATTTCATTTTGAGACGATGTGTGTAAAGTTTACATCCCTCACCCCAAAATTCAAAAAAAAATAAAATAAAATCTGCATAACAACATATATATATGCATAGTTAGTTTTCTTTCCCGTTAATAAATTACAAATATTTTACAAGAGGTAATCCTCACCCTTACTTTACTTATAATCTCTCCTCGATTTCAAATGAAGTTGAGGTTTGATCAAAATTCACTCTTGAAATTTATTGCTAAGTGACTGCCTCGCATTTTTTTCTTTTTTGAACTTACATTTTATGGTAGATTCAGATTAGATGTATAATAACCGTTACGCTATATATGTACACCTGTAACCAGCCAACTTAATTAATTGATACCTTCGAGACCATATTTACTCTGTGAACAAAATGATGACCCACATATATAATACGTAGTTGTTGGGTTTCTATGTCATAGCCAGCGAAGCTTTGACAATGGGGAGACAAAAATAATGGTCGGACAAGAAATGGAAGATAAGTGTAGCCACTTATCTTCCTAGATGGATTATTGTGGCAAGCATTATGGAGCCATGGAGGAGACATTTGGATGGACAGATGGGAAAGGCCGGTGAAATGTTCTAATGTCATGGATTTTAAATACCTAAAAAATTACTTTTCCTTTTTAGAAAATAAAAAGGTCAAACACATTTTTGGGATCTAGCCAATTTAAGCACGTGCCTCATGATGATTTTCTTTCAAATATGATCATAATGAACTATATGTTATATATGGGGATATCATTAAGTCCATAAAAATCAGGATTAAGATATCAATATGGGATTATTAATGACGAGCACTCACATTTTGGGTTTTTGATAATATAGTCAAGAGTTGATTAATGGTGGTTGTTCGACTATGACTCTGGTCGACATCTATATCCCACTTTAAGGTATAGGTTGCTAATTGCTAAGGACGGAGTGAGAATTAGTGATTTATCTTTAATCCGTTGTTTTATATGAAACAAAAATATTTGTTCACTTGATTGTAGACATTATTTAACAATAATTCTACATTTAACTCTATTATAAAATGAAGAGTTTGAATCTCTCATCCTAAATAAAAAAATTAAAAAAAAAATCACACAAAAAGGTTATTAATGGTCACAAGTACTCATTATTTCATGCATATAATTATGACCGAAACAATATATAATTGACCCTGGCATGATTGCAATTTTAGTGGACACAATTATTTGTGTTCGAAAATGTTCTCAATGTATAATGACTAGCTAGCTAAAACTTAAAAAGTATTTGCTTAGACAAATTAGTTGAGATTGGATTTCTAGGGCAAAATGCCACTGAAATCGAGAGTTAGAACTGACCAGTACTTGGATTTTCTAGCTTGCTTGATGCTGTAATAGAGTGTTATTTAGCTCTCAGACATATAGCAGTGGTGAAAAGGAAATAATACATTCGTTACAAAATTCTGTATATTTTTGTGTCTAATATATGCTTGTATGTATATATATGATTTATCACAGGACATCATATAAATATTCCTGTAACAACCAGAAGAATTAAACATATTTAATTATGTTAATTGTGATATATTAGTGGGCCTAATATTAATTTTCTCAATTAATCATGTTATTAAGATTTTCTTAACATTAAATTTTTACGTTATTCCACAAAATTTTAATTACTTTAAGTTTTTACAATTCCACCTCAAAAGTTTTGAAAATACACTTACTTTTCCTCTAAATACCATTTAATACATTTTTTTCTCCTTTTCTTTTCTTTTTCTTTTTCCTTTTATTTTCTTTCTTTCTTTTCCTTTTTCTCTCTCTCTTTCCCTTTTTTTTCTTTCCTTTCCCCCACAAACCCCCTCCCCCGACTCCTCTCTCTCTTTCTTTCTTTCTTTCGTTTTCTCTTCTCTCTCTCTCCTCCGTTTTCCTCACCACCGGTCACCTTCCCTTCTCTTTTTCTCCAGCCGCCCACCCACTCTCACTCTCTCTCTCTCCCGCATTCCTTTTCTCTCTCCCTTGCTCTCTCTTTTTCTCATTTTCTCTCTCTCACTCTCTCTCTCTTGGGTGTTCCTGCCGAAGCAGGAAAGAAAAAAAAGAGAGGAAAACTTTAACTTGAATTATGAAGTTGTTTGCAAACTTTGGATTTGAGTCAAGGCACACTAATAGGAAATAATTGTACATAATTGAACTAGACTTGTTTTAGAGGTGAGATCTCAATTCTAAAACATTGTTTTAATGACGAAGCTAGCGGCATGATTGGACGTGGAGCTTCAAGAATAGACGATTGGACAAAGAATAGATGATTGGACAACGTGAAGTTATCCATAGACTAAATTGTCAAGAGATAGGATATTCTTGTCCATATCATTGTTAGCCTGTTTTAAATATATTTGGCCTATGAAAACGTTTTATAGATAAAAACGTATTTGAAATCATTGAAACCTAAAGAAGAGTTTTATATGATATTTTCTTAAAATGAGATATTTTAAGAAACGGTAACATGCTGATGGCCTGAGAGATCGGGGTATGGAGATCGTATCCATGAGGGTAGGTCTTGAAACCCGTACGGGCTACTACAATGGTGATATCATGGCCTTGCGATAAGGTAAGTGAGTCATCATGAACCACTTACTGTAATATGGACTTTTGAGACTTACTTTTATTTCCATCTATTAAAAATGATGTTCGGTTTTGAATGACATGTTCAGACCCTACACTTCCATTTATTGATTCGGTTTTATAAAATTATATCCTACTTGGTCTTTCGCTCACTATTTCTATGTTTCAATATATTAAACCCCTCCAGAGTTAGCGGTTTAGATTTACAGCATGGCAAGTGGATGTCAATGGATTGAAGGCACGAGATTCGAAGCGGTTCGTTTGTTTTGAATTTACAGTTTTTAATTCTGAGATGTACTATATTTGTATATATAAATTGTATTGGTCGATATTGTCCTAGAGTTGTACTATTTTCCTTAGATTTTATGGACTATTTTAGTATTATTTGTAAAAGAAAGACTCCAGAACAATGTATTTTAATATCTACTTTGTGAATATGTATTTTTCTTGAATTTTGTTGATTAATCTCATTTAATTAAACTTAATTCTTCTAATAATCACGGTCTCTGGGGTGACAATTCTCCTAAAAAAATTATAAACATATTGCTCCTTAAAAAAGTAGACACGTCAATATTTCGGCGTTAATAAGCGGTTAAACTAGATGCTAGATGAAGGCATATATTTTGAACCAAATAATCAAGAGATATTGTTTCTGTTTTGTTGTGCGTGTATGTGTTTTTTTTTCTTTTTTTTTTTTTGGGAAAATAAAAGTATTTATTTGATCCTAGTGTATATTTCGCTAACTTCGGTTTGTAAAATTAAAATCCCCTTCATCATTGGAAGATAGAATTCGAAACCCCAATATGTCGCTGAAAAAAAATAAAATGAAAAATGGAAGGAAAGAAAATGTATTATATATAATATAAAGCTTATCAATTGTGTGCATTTCTACACAATAATTTTCAAGCTATAAATTATTAATGGTGACCAACATTGACTTAGGACACATCAAACCATGACATACTCTTATGCAGTTGAAGTGGACAGACGTCATGCACGTCGGAATCTTATCAACTAGGAAGAACTAGGCTCTTGATATTTGTATATGAAGAATTCCGAAGACTACAACACGCATGAAACATTTACAGCGTGTTTGGTAAAGGAGTTTAAACCCCGTTTAAGTGATTATGTGTAGTGTTTTTTCTCATAAAAATTTAAATTTTAGTCAAAACCATCTGGTTTGGACCCATGAACTAAACAAGTGACAGGAAAGAGGAAGGAAAAACTTTGATTATATTTTTGTATTTTTTAATCTTTAGTTTAAACAAGAGTAAACTCAATAGTTTGCAACTCAAAACAGAAGGTTTTCATAGAATCATATGCATACCCATAGTTAAGTTCATATGTATTGATTGCAAAGTCAGCCTCAATATGTCAAATAGGTGCTAAGGAAATGATCGACTTAGTTGACTCTGGGCAGTGCAAGTTCAGCACAAAGCAAACACTTGAGCAGTATATGTGCATTGTAGGTGAATCAGAACGTGGGCAGTGAATCAATTTGCCATAGCTGATTCAGTGCTCTAATACTGATCTTATAACTTCCTATTCATTTTGCTTCAATATGTGGAACCCATGTGTTGGGAGTGCGCGAACAAACGTCCCACATTGGCTAAATAGATCATGTACACATATAATGAGGTTAAAGGTGCTTCGAGTATTCCTCTTAAAACGTCGGTTTTTTTATTAGATGTAACGCCGAGCACTAACAAGCGATATCAGAAACAGACTCTAAATGTAGCTGCACACACAATATGATGAGAAAAATAGGCTCTTGAGATACACAACCACAAACAACATGGAGATAAATCTGACCTTTTTAAAAAAAATAAATAAAGCTAAGATAAAAATAGCCAAATCTCAAATTAGCTAAGTAAGAGAATGAGTGTGCCTTTCAGTGCTTCCAATCTCCAAGAAAAACAACACCAGAGATTTCACTGGTGAAAATTATACAAGAAAACAAAAGTTGACAACAAATGACAATAATTAATCTTTATAGTATTGCCGAATTTGATACAAATTGAGTTGTGATACAATGTGAAAAACAGAAACATTTGACCCAAAAAAGTAGGGAGAGTGGTACTATGAATTTCATTCACATATTTCATTCACATACTCGATATACAAGGGTCAAATTTTTACATGAGTTTTTTTGTTCGAATTAAGCTAAATAGTATATATGTATATGTGTGAGTATTTGGTGATACTTACTTTACATTAGTATTCTAGGGTTCAACTAGTTCAAGGATTTTGTCGCTTGCTTTTCTGAAGTGCCAGCGCCATATTGCGTAGTCTATCAGTTATTTCTGTGAATGATGGCCTTGCAGCGGGATCAGCAGACCAGCACTCTTCCATTAACCTTCTCCACTCGGCGTCGCAACGTTTTGGAATTGCAGGCCTCAGTGTGTTGTTCACAATCCCACCTTCATAGAAAGTGAGAAGAAGCTTGATTAACATCAAGATGTTTAACTACAGCCACTGAAAGAATAATGATGCATGCAATGACTAGAAAACATGGAAAAATGGTGCATGATACCTTAAAGAATAGACCACAAACACGGACAAAGTTATATGCATAGGATTTATATCTTCAGATTTATGAACTAGCTATATACTTGTTACTGAATGATGATTCATACTACATAATATACATGTATGCTTGTCCAGTTTCGGAAAACAAATTCCTAATCAAACTTTGATCTTTTTCATGTGTAAATTAACAGTGAGGCTTGGCTTTCTTATTTGTACAAATACTCTCTAGAGGTCAAAACTATTAGATTTTGAGAAGAAGAATGCCGAGCATTTAGATTTATGCCTTTTAATAAAAGGTATGAGATTTTTATCCTCTTTTTCTTATTTATATATCTGAAAAAAAAAAAAATGGCACAAAACAAAAGAGATGAGTTAAGGGGACACTTTCCCTAATTTTCTCCTATTTTTAGCAACTCCCATTTGATATCATGCAACCTGCCAGTCAGTACATATAATAGATCTTGCAATGTATCCACAAAGTAAAAACTTTAGAGAAAAAAAAAAAAGAAAAAAAGAAAAAACGAAAGGATTGCTAGTTATGCTTCATTCCAACACACATGCCAAACTTATTGCAGATTGTCCAAAAAAAAGTGGAAGAAAAAAGGGATATTTCAAGTACACTCCCAGATGCTTTTTTTTTTGGCTTGTCAAATTGCCTCCTTTGAAAACATTCTAATCTCATGAATATTAGCAACCTCAAGGGCTTCAAAGCGCATACAAGTTGAACGAAATGTACAGAGAAAATTCAACGGCAGACTTGTAGGCAAGAAAAAGCCGAGATTTTATCAAATAGAACAAGCTTACCTATGATAGCACCACAATGCATGTCAGCATATGGTTCCTCCCCAGTTAGTATCTCCCACATCACTATTCCAAATGAGAAAACGTCAACCTGCCAAAGAGAAAGAATTTCAAGTCTTTGTCAGGTTTCGGTTCAAACTTCATGGTAGGCAAAAGGAAGGAAATTTCTCTGGTAGAGTATGAAAAAATACCTTACCGGTAGAATACATTTTTTAACCATCACCAAATCAGAATCATATCAACTAAAATAAAGTATGACAATTTAACAGAATCTGAAGAGTTCTCCCAAAAAGAAATTTGACAGTTAAAATAAAAAAGTACATATAGGTTGGTTGAGTATATAACCTTCTCAGAGACCCTGCTGCTGCTTCCATTAAGTAGTTCGGGAGCCATCCATGGAAGCGTTCCTCTAACACCACCAGAAACGAGCGTGTTGCGCTTGATTCTTGACAACCCAAAATCTCCAACCTGCGAAGGAGATGACTAATGGTGATGAGATTTTGGATGCTTTCATCAACATATGAGACAATGTGTTCGTAAAACTGAAAAATATTTGTATTTCTCTCTACTATTTACTTTGCATATTGGCCGTTCTGGATCCCTCAAGTTGACAAGCAAATTGTCACATTTCAGATCAAAGTGAACAATATTTTTCAAGTGCAAATATTCCATGCCAAACGCCGCATCCATTGCGATTCTGAGCCTTTTTCTACGGTCAAGCACTCTGAATAAACAGAATTACATTAGTAAATTCCAGTTGGTTAGAAACTGCATTAAACAAAGAAAACCTGGGTCAGCTCACTTGTCCTTCTTCAACAGGACATGCCTCAATGAACCATTGACCAAGAACTCGGTTACAGTTGCCAATGTTCCACAAGGCGCGTCGGGAACAACCCCGTAAAATGCTACAACATTTGGATGATGAAGAGTTGACAGTATCCGTGCCTCTCTCCAAAAGTCCTTAATCTGTACAAATGGATGAATTTGCATTTTTCACTCGGAAAAATCCTAACCTAATTTCAATAATCTTATCATAAACGCATTCAAGTTAATGAGAAACTATGCACACAGAAAATTAGAAGCCTTTTTTTTTCCTAGATGGTAAGGGCTTTTAGAAGGAGAAAAAATCGGAAATGCAAGCAACTTACGAGCCGCTCTTGCTCTGATGATCTGCCTGAAAAACAACTCTTTTTTATTCTCTTAATGGCAACATCTGTTCCTCTCCACTTCCCATGATAAACGGTTCCAAATGTACCAGATCCCAACTCTTGCAGTTCTTCAAGATCAGAGTTCTTTATGATCTGCATATTGTCCAAAACATTGCAGTCAAAGTTTCTTGCTTAATACTTTTTACTCCCTTTTGCAAATGAAGAAAGAAAATAGTTATAATGAAATCAGATTTAAAAGATCAAAATAAATTAAAGATAAAATGGGAATCATTTTTGGCATCGAAAAGCATCATATACATACACATATTTTAAGAACCATAACGACCAAAATAACAATTGAAAGTTGATGTAGCTCTCACATTTAGGGTGAATCACTATTAATCTTGTGTCTAGTTTCTACTCTTCTTATATATTATCACTCTCATTAGTAAAGGATTAAGGCTTCCTAATCTCTTACAAAAGAAAGATATAGCTGGCATAAATTATGTTCACAAGAAAAGAATCACCACAAACTGTCCATGTCAAAGAAATAAATCCAACATCACAAGAAAGAAGAAAGAATCCAAGAATGAAGCACAAAAATGATAGTTTCTAAACCTGTAAACCGTAGACGCCGGCTTCAATCTCAGCTATTGCAGCATCACTCATAGACTCATTCCCATCACTTCCATCAGCCTCTTCACCCTATAAAGATATAAGATATTTCTGAAATTTTCTATTAGTATCGAAATATTTGAAACTCTTAATCAAAACAGACAAGCTTACCTCACTATCCGAAGCTCGAGTGGAATTCTCTACTTCAATCTCTCTAGGAGTTGTACATTCATCTGTAACCTCATCGTCTACAAACAAAACCACATTAGAGGAAGAAGGAATGCCATGTGGTACGCCATGAGTCACATCTTCTTTAATAACTGCTTCTGATTCGGCCGCCTTATTGTCTCGAAAATTATCTAAGGACTGTGATGGCATAGGGATAGCATCATCAAACTTAGGCCCCTCATGAGATTCTCTGCTGAGACTTACCTTTCCAATCTCATTGTCAGTACTTTTCAGATGATCCTGATCAAGGGCTAGTACTTCTCTATCTGAATTAAAAGGTGAACCCGATTTCTGAAACAATGATAGAAAAAAAGGTCAATCTAGTACAAGTTTCAAGCCATAGTGAAAACAATTCCAGGGAGATAAAATTACTAACAGAGAGTAAATCACGTGAAGAAAGGTTAGCATTTTGCAGGTAGTTGATGTTTGGTAAGTCATGAAGTTCCATAGCAATCACATATGGCTTAAATTCAATGTTTTCTCTGAATTCTTTTATGTACTGATCTTGTTGGGAGTTATTCCTGTTTTCCCATTTCAACATATCCTCACCAGAATCTTCCTTACAATGTGGTTCCAAATGGGGACCACTTTTAGCTATCTTTTCCTGTCGAATTTGCGAATCATTTGACGACCTTGTTGTTGTCATGAGAGGCAATTTTGCTCTGTTGACTTCTTCCAAGGGCTTCTGATCTAGTTCATGCAACTTTGAGTCTGAAATCACTTGAGTCATCTTGCTATCAGAACCATCTTTATCATTGGATCCTGACAACAAACCAGGAGGGTCTTGAGGGTGAGAAACGGATCTGTCATTATAGAACCCCCCTTCCCTAGGCATAGGTCTCCCATGCCTTAAGCCACTTTGAGCATTCAGCGAAAAAGGCTCAAAATCTTCACTTTGGCTGCGGTGATGAAAGCCCGTTACTCTATGGGGTCTGCTAGTCTGGTCAGAATCCACCAAATACATGTTATGATGATGATAATTCATCTGTTGTGAAGGTCCATAATAGTATCCCATGGCATCAGCATAATAGGAATCTTGACCGGGAAATTTTCCCATGAAAATAGGACTAACTGCATCGCCTTCGACGGCAGTGTGTGGATGATGATCCGCATAGTAGTGCGCATTGGGATTATCATGATCCATGTGCTGAAAAGGAACATGGGACATTGAAGGTAATTGGTTGAATGACTTGCTTGGAAGAAGCTTGGGAGAAAATTGACAAAAGGATCCTGTAAATAGTCCCATCAAGTTTGAGTTACTTGGGCTACAATCCTTCTCCAAAGCATACGCTGATGTGGGAGAGTCTCTCGGAAAGCTTGGACTATAGTCTGAGTTGTTTCCAAACTGGCTAGACTGGCTGGCCAAGCTTTGCCCACTGGAGCTTTTCCGTGGACTCCGGTCCATCGGGGCATACTGATACTCACCGCTGTTTGGCTGCATTGTCCTCACTTCAACGGAGCTCAGGCTCTCAGATTCATTCAAAGACACAAGAAAGATCCTCAGCCTTTGAGAACTCCCAATTCTTTCTAGCTCTTGATACTCCTCAATCATGTTATAAAGGTCTTCATCCGAACAAACAGATATAAGTGAATCCAAATCCTCACCAGGAAGTTGGTATTTGATTGTATGAGGTTGGTTACAGATTGCAAAAGTCTTTTTCATTAATTCCTCCCACGTGATGTTCTTCCTGATCGACAATATCCGTGTATCTCCACCAACATATCTGACCTTCCCATCACCCGGCCTTTGAACAATTCTTCCCCCAAAGCTGCAAAGAAACTTCATCTTTCCAGAGAAAGAACCTTCAGAAAATACAGGCACATAAGGATGGTACAATCTAGGGGACTCGATCGCATAATGGTGATGTGGACTAGTTTGCCCCGCAATAACACGGTCGCGATTTTTCTCATCATAAACCTTGCTTGATACCTGCCCTGCACCGCCATATTCCCAATAATATCTGCTTATATTATTAGGATAACCCTTGTGATCTACATCAGCAACATAGCCTGGACTAGGAACAAAATCGTCTGAATCCATCCTCCTCAGCCCGAAATTGCCTGTATGATCCTCATAACCCAGCTGATGATTTTTCGCATTCAAATTGCAACCAACTCTCCTTGGAAAATGTTGATTCACATTAGTAATGACCGACGGTAATCTTCTCAGTGCAGCACGGTCCTGCAAAAACTCGGCCGCAAATTCCTCACCAGTCTGCAGAGAAATATTGTTCACATTTCTGTTCAAAGTAGTTCTATCCTCAGGAACCTCACTCTTCATGGTCTCAAAAAAAGTCCTCCCTCATGTACAAATCATAAATGAACATTTTTCCGGCCTTTTTACACCTTGTTTCCAAATACAAAAGTCCAAGAAATCTTAGATACCCCCATTATCATTTGTAATTGTACTACCAAATTATGCACAAAATGCCTCCCTTCTTCTCTATCATAAATGCTTAAATTCAAGGCAGATCATGTCCTCTGGGCTGTAAAAATGAACTTAAAATCAGAATTGTGCAATCATATGCAGAGGAATCAATGAATGAGTTCAATTCAAGAAATGGAAGATCAATATAATCTGATCATTTTTCTGACAGAAAGGAAAAGCAAAGAACATTTTTCTACGATTACATATCAAATTTAATGGCCATTATTCATAGGAGAAATAACACATAACATAACAAAACAAATGACATGTGATTTAGAAAAAAAAAAAAAAAGAAAAAAAAAAGCAATTTAACAGAGAGAACATGGTGAAATGGGTACCTTTGTAATGGATCAAATTTTCTTGTCCCACGTATGGTATGAAGCTTTTGTCATTGAACGTGAAGATTTTCAGATGGAATTTAGCAGCAAAGAAAAAATGCCCAAAAGAGGAAAACAGGTTTTCAGTTTGGGGTGTTTTGTTTGAGAGGTAACGGCTATTGGTTGGTGGAGAGGTAACGGCTATTGAGAGAGAGAGAGAGAGAGAGAGAGAGAGAGAGAGAGAGAGAGAGGAGATTGCATTTGCATGAGGGTCGGAGTTCAGACGGTAGAGGAAAGAAAGAGCTTTAATACGCGGCAAAAACGCATTCACAAAAGGAGGAAAGTCAGGAACAAATAGGCCTATTTAACTGCAAAAACTGATTTACGAAATCTTCACCAAACTAAGGCCCTAATAACAAGGCACTTTTTTTTTTTTTAACCTCTCTCTCTGGGATAAATGTTTGTTAATTTTTCTAACCTGGATAAATGTTTGTTTCTTTGTTCTAGATTTAACTAATGACGTTTGTTTCAGGATTTTATTTAGTTTAGGATCATCATTCTTAGTTCTATTATAGTATTTTTCTCTCATAAAAAAATTAAATTTTAAAAATTATAATTATAAATCATAATTTTAAACTCATAAATTAAACGTCACCTTATATTCTTGTACGAAAAACTGCCTTGAAAAACTGCCTTTATAAAAGAGTCACATCATCATCCATATTATTATTTGATAATCAAAGGGTTATATTATTTGTCAAAAGATATGTGTTCTACAAAAATTCTTATGTACAGTGCAGTTTTTTTATTTTTTTAACACCACAACATCATAACAAAAAAGATTCATAAATTTGAAAATTTACTTTTAAAACTTATACTGTAAGAGGTTTTTCCCCTAAAGAAACAAAAAGGTTATATGAATAGAAATTAATTAGTAATCGCTTTGACCCAAACCACAAACCATAAAAACAATATCAGTTCGTGATTTTCTAAAGAAAAGCAAACGAAAGTTCAACAGAATCTACAGGAAAATAAATAAATAAATAAAGAAGGAAAATTCAACAAGCAAACACAGGATCTCCTCATGTTAGTAGAATTCATTCTCATGCTACTTCGATCCCTCGGTTGCCTGCGTTTCCTTCCCTTGATACTAACTAGAACTTGAACGACTGATCAAAACAAACAAATGAAAAAGACTTAAAATTTTTTTACTACAGTATTTTTTCTCATAAAAATTTAAATTAAACTTTTTTACTATAATATTTTCGTTCACATAAAATTTATTTTACATGTGACGACCCTCGTAAGAGGCCGCCACTGTAGCTGACTTTTTAACTTGTATTTACTGAAATTTCTTAAAATTTACGGAACATTTTTTTTTTAAAGTCTTATAGTAACATATACTATGAATTGCTTTCTTGATGGAAACATTCAAACCTTAATATATATATATATATATATGATTCTCAAAACATGTAGATATATCTATATGTATATACCTACTCTTTAAATCTTGTTTACTAATCGCCATAATCCACAAAACCATTTAACATATAGTTTCAGAATAATAATTAGCAAAACTATTTGTAACATAGAACTAATTACGGAAATATTTGCGAGCGGTATCTATTTCCCAATCTCCACATCATTCGTCCACTCGCCATCAGTCCATCAGGCATTATATGCCGGTTGCTTACCTACAGTATAAACATTCTATAATGAGCTTTCGCTCAGCAAGTAGAAACTACCTCTCGCAAAATAACTGTAAGTTCACATGAATAAATATGCATGAGCCAATTATGCTTAATTATGATGTCTTATCAGAATCTTATTAACTTATATTATCTTATCTTTCTTTCTTGTGGGTCCGAGTGCTCGCGTACCACTTGCGCGCAATCATCGGGACGTGAGGGTTTGCAAGGTCCCCCACGACACCATGATTATAACTTGAATGCCTCCCTTGAGTCGGAGGACATTTTTTTTTTCTTTCTCCCTGCACAACTTACCCTTTCTTGGCCTTGTGCCTCAAGGGATTGATGGTTGTCACAGAGTTACCTCTCTTGCGGAGGCTGGTACGGCACTTAACTGAGATCATTCTTATAAGTTCCTATTGACTTATTAAGGTGTATGCAATATGACCTAGCATAACATACTATAACATGGAATGTACTCGAACACATATAATTCGTGTGTACTGCTTAAGTGTATGTAGTATAACATAGCATAGCATTCATAACATTAAATGTACACAAACATATATAGTTCATGTGTACTGTTTACTTTAAAATCTATTTATACTGTAGGCGAGATTCCTACTTACTTGATTTTCAAAGCTGGAATCCCCTTTTGCCAAACGGCCTATTCTCTTACTTGCTTTCTTCTGAATATGAACACCCATTAAGAGTGTGAGATTAATTGTTGTTTGCTATTCTATTTTAGCAACTTATGAAGAAAAAATCTAACCCTTTCCATAAGGCATATATTCCTCTCCTTTACTAAAGGATTATAAGGATCGATTTATCAAATTATCGAAATCTTATTTCTCTTAATTTTCCTTGTTATGATATTAAGCCCCAATTCGGCCTAGGACTTATATATGGCATTCTAACTTTTAAGCCGCTGAAATTTACACTCCAACGGAGTCTCTTAAATTAATGCGGGCGTTGGACCCACATTAAATATTTGAAATTCTATGGACCTATCGTATTGGGCTCGTAGGTGCCCTGTCGAGATGAATCGCTCGATAAACCACTATGTTCTTTTAAGAAAGCATTTTTTCTTGAAAACTTTCTTTACGAATACTTTCGTTAAAATGAGGTTTAATGCCATTGTATTTTACTGAAATCCTATCTCGGGTTCTTTGATGACTTTTTGTTAAAACCGACACTGTTTAGTTTTGTTTTGTTAAAAACTGTGCAGTTTCTGAAATCTGCATTTTACTACATCTGAGAGTCAGATTTCAAAATTTTGTCCTTTGCAACAATTCTTCGTCTCGTCGAGATCTAAAATTGTCGTTTTTGGTGAAAGTTGAAATTCAACCTCTAAAGGCCTTGTTTGGCTGAAAACAGTGACTGCTGTTTTTTTTCTTTTGTTGTAGGATTGCTGTAGCAATCTTTTTAAAAACGCTATAGGATTGCTGTAAAAATCTTTTAAAAACGCTATAGGATTGTTGTAGCAATCTTTTTTTAAAAAATACTGTAGGATTGCTGCAGCAATCTTCTTTCGAAACTGTGTTGAATAGCCTGTCCGTTTTTACAAAATGGCTTCAAACTTACTTTTAGAGTTAAAGTTGGGTTTTGTCATACTCACAGAAAACGTTCAAAACATCGAGGGCTATAAGTTCAAATTTTGAAACATCAAAAAATCTCGCTCTAGGGTCCTCATTTTTACGTTCAAAGTAACCAGAAATTTTTCCTCTAACCGAAAGTAAGCAAGCTTAAATCAAGCATAAGCATACCACATCAAACTAAGCTCAAAACTCACAAAACCAACATAAAACTCACACACCCTTATTACAACTCATCTCCTTAAGAACCACAATTTACATCCATAAATTCAAGCTTAAAGTTGGCTAGAAATTAATGGAGAAGAGTTTAAGAACTTACCCTTGAAGAACTCTCACTCTCTTGAAAAAAACTTTGAACTCCTCTATGACTTGTTAATGGCTTGAGCTAGAAGATATAAGGAAATTTAAAAGTAATATTTCTACATTTCAAACTTTACTAAAACATGAGAAAGAGAGGATTTATAGTTTTTTTACCCTTGAAGGAATGCTTGACTAGTCTGCTCCTAGAATCCCTTAATCTATTTCTTCTTCTTCTATTGTTTGCTAGTGGTTTAAGGTTAGGAGAGTGGAAGAAAATATTTGAGAGGGTGTGGAGAGTGTGGCCAGTTTGGGTGTGAGGGAAATGAGAGGAGATGTGCAAAAATGGCTAACCTAATGCTTGCATTAATGGTCTCACCTTTATAGATATTGCTTGATCTCATCTTAGTTCTCATTTAAGCCTATCAAGCTAGCTTAATTAGCTAGATTTTTAGATTAATCCCCCCATTATTGTGGCTGGCCGGTGGAGTGCTTCAAGAGGATAGTAAGCATTTATGTCCAATAGTTGATTTGACTCAATCCCATCATGAAATCCATCTAGCACACTTCACTAGCCAAATTTTGGCTATAATCCCTTAAGTTTGGCTGGCCAAGTGAGGGAAGGAGAGAGAAAAATGAAACATAACCCTTGTACTTTTGTCCACTCCCTTAGGTTACTCATTAAAACTGTCCAAAATTCTACAGACAGCTATTTTCTTCTGTATGTGTATTAGATGCTAATTCGTATTGTGTTTGGAGATTTTTGAAATTAAGATTCTTAAACTGTATTTGTACTGAAAATTCTTTCTTTTTAAAGTACGGTGAGAATTTATCAATCGAATTTACTTGATCGGAAAAACATGAATTTAACGTGAAATCTGTTACAGAATTTAAGAATACAGATGTTAATTTCACAAATCCTTCAATCACAAAATATACCATAATATATTTCATTTTTTCAGAAAAATCATTGACTTAAATACATAAATTTCATTATTTAAATTCTGAAATTTTCCTGGTCACTACATTACAACTCAAGTTCTCAATTGAATTGTGAAAGAACGTGACCTATTGAAGGTTGACAAAATGTGAATTATTCAAAATTGTCCAGCCGCTTGTCGATTTCGGACTCCATAGAAATCTACTAGATTAGCACCAGTAATCTACCAGATTATGTCATCGAGAAGGCTCGAAAATTTGCAGTCACCACTGGCGTCGCCAGCACAAGTTGTCGGAGTATTCTACTGCTATCGGTATTCTACCAAATTATGTTGCCCTTTTCGACATCTGATCATCTCCCACATTAGTCGCCAAAGTAATCTGTCTAGGACATTACCACCAGTAATCTACCCGATTAATTTCTGAAATCAACGTATCCCACCCGGTCCTTGTACTAGCACTGGTAGTCGGATTAGGCGAGCCTATAACTACCCAACTTACAAACTCAACAAAAAGAAATAAACATAAAAATATATATATATAAAAAGCCAATCAACTTACAAAAAAGTTGCAACTTTTGAATTATGCAATTGAAACACTAATTTTTAGATGGTTTTAATCATGTGTGAGTCAGTATTCACTGCTTAATAAAAGGAAATTAATTAGAAAATTTAAACAATATAGACCATGTAAAAAAAAAAACACAAATTCTTTATAGATCTAACCCTAAGTGTCCTACTCCTTTACTTGCAATCCCCGTATCATGTCGCTCTCCTATTTTTCTTTTACAAACTAGTCACATAATTGAAACCGCTGAAAAATATTGCTTCATTAATGTAAGCACAAACATTGCAGCTTACAATAAGCTCGGGTTGGGGGATTTTCATGTCATTTTTAGTTGTAGGGTTAAAGAATTAGTGAGACAATCCTTATTTTTTAGGGACCAAATTAAAACTAACCTTACACAACAAATTATCAATTCTTATTTCTACGAAGGAAAAATATCTTTAATATGTTGTGTGACGACTTTTAACTTTCGGTTATCATTTCTACCTTCATACTTATCATTACCCATCTTCTACTACTTTCTAATTATAATCTCTTAAAAATTCAGGTTATTTTTTTTTTCAATAGTAGTAAAATTGATTCTAATACTCTTTGCGGAATAAATCTTCATTTAGTGATTTTTATAAAATTCGAACATCAAAAGTTACTATCCTAAAAACATTTTCAATTTTTCCTTTAAAACTTTGATCTTGTCCTCCTTATTCGTGGACATATATTAAACCTATCATTCGCATATCATTACCATTCATATGTCTTAATGCTGAAGCATTTTAGCTATGCATTCCGTTAATCCTATAGCATTTAGATACATTAATCATACGTTGTGACTTGAGGTTGCTATGCATAGCCTCACTGTCTGGTAAACTCAACTTTCGTTACATAACTCATCTATATTCATAAAACATTATTTACTTTATACTCATAAAGCTCAGCAGCATTTTCAAAACATGTGATGCATCCACTACCTATTTGCCCACACTCCGTTGTTACATCCTCTCTACATGTCCAGCAACAAGTTTCAGGGAGCTGGTGCCTTACCCGAGCTTCCTACAACACGAACAACTTAATAAGCTTTCGCTCAGCAAGTAACATTAGGTAATAATAAATGCAACAATTATGCATACCCATATATGCATTCAGGTCATAAATCCTAAGACATTCTGTATTTCTAGAATGTATATCGTTTATGTTCTTCTTTCATTACATACTTTGCTCAACTTTCGTCTCTTTTTAGTCGTTCACATTGTATTCTCATTTCTGAGCGACATTCATATTGTGTTTTTTTTTTCTTTCTTTTCATTCTTCTTTACGAATACCGTACCCCTATATGAAACGGTTTCGTTTTTTTTTCATTGTTTTGTCTTTTACTTCTTATGGGCCCTATCCGATTGTACCATAGTGCGCATAACCAATGAGGAGTGGGGTAGCTAACTAATCCAATTTAGTCGCGGTTTCACTTCTTTCATAATCATAATAACCTTTCCTTCGAATGTTGATACAACGAGGATGTTAGATTTCTTACCGTTTGTCAACTTTCACATTAAAACTGTAACTTAGTTAAATCTTATGTCTATGTTCACTTTTGTTCTATTTATCATGAAATTGACATTTCGTTAAAGTTTAATTTTTTCTCCTAACTTAACCTCGACTTGACCTCGATACATATTTTTCACAGAATAAAATTCTTCTGCTACTTAAGTCTCATAAATACATGCATAACAGTTCATCCAATATACAGGAGACATCTTTCACATTCTAGCATACACTTAGTCTACAATATACTCAGATTGAGCAATATAGAGAAATAAGTTTATTCACGTCGTAGACAAACACTGCAACAAATATCATTATCACTAGCTGACCAAAAACGCTATTAAGCACTACCAATAGCATTTTGTAGAGCACTAGGATATCGGACGCTATTAAAAGTCCTACAAAAACATAGCATTCTATGAGCAATTTGAAAAACGCTACAGAATTGAGATCTTATAACGTTTTAAACATGTTATTTTCAACCTCTTACAATTAGCCTTATTACGATACATATCAATAGCTTTTCTCTCTTGTTATGTTCATACTCTTATAGCTTTTTAAAATTATTATTGAATATTTTACCAATCGTAAAACAAGTACAAACTAACGTTCTATCTATTTTTATTATATTAATTTCCTTTTGAATTCATCAACATTTTACATTCAAATTAAAACATAAAACATTCAATGTAATAATTGTGATCAATATCTATCAAGTTGGCAATAAGATGTTTACAACATAAGTCACACCATTTGTCCAAAAGCTTAACATTCAAAACAAATAAAGAATACAAAGAAATAGCTAGAGATATCAAAATATCCAAAACATCTCGTTAAATGAAGATCCCGACCCATTCTTTTCCTGCATAATCAAGAACGAGCAACAATACTCGATTAGTTTTCATATCAACTCAACTAAAACATAAAAAGTCAACCAAGTGTGCAAAAGCTCGAGATCAACGGTTTGGAGTAAGAAACTTACTAATTTACCAAGTGCAATTAGAAAGTGCATTCCACTTATATCTTCAGGAGATTTGAGGTAGTAACGGCTGCTTGCAACGACAGACTCGAGTCAATTACTTCGGTCGAGAGCATGGATGGCAAAGAATCCAGAGCTTGCAGTAAAAAGATTCATGTGCTTCTAATGTGCAAATACTGACACCACATTCATCACTCACACATCTTTGCCTTTAAAAGCAGCAGCAAAGGAACCTATGTTAGCCTTCATGTCCATTATGTTCCTAAGTGTGTTTGACTCGATTTTTGGTTTCAACAAAGTCCAGTAATTGTCAACTCTTTGCTGCCAAACTTCCGGCAACACGATCACAAATCAAATTCTTCTACTCATTAGTCATGAACACATATATTTGGACAAGAAATGAAATTCCGTACATGCAGAGTGATTAAGTATAAATGAAGGATTACTGTATCCTTGTCAAACATATCAGTGGAAAATCCAAAATCAGCTAGGCGGGAAGGTGGACTGGTCAGTCGAGCAAGCCAAGGAGCCAAATCACTTTTGCTCTATGGATTTCTAAAAATTTTGAAAATTGTTTGGTTAGAATTTATCCAATTTCGAATGAAAATCATGATATGCATGGCTACTAACACCAAAATGATGGAAAGCTATGCTTCAAAGAAAAAGGGATAAAATGCATACTGCTAGGACTCTTTTACTCTGCACAAAAGATATAACTCCTAGTTCCTTTTAGCAGCTATTTTCCAACACATGCGCTCCACAAGCGCACTCATCTCTCTCCTACATCGGGAACAATGCGCGAGCTCGAAAGATCTACTTGGGTAAGGGAGCCTCTTTGTCCCCAAAACACCAAGCTTTAATCCGAGCATTCAAACAGCTGCTGCTTGATACAGAAATCTGATCTTGTAATTGATCGTTCAACTGCAACAGTAAAAGAGGAAAAACTAAAGATGGATCCGCAAGAAAATGCCGATAAGAACTAATGAAAAGATTAATGGAGGTTATATAAATATCAAAATAGATTGAAAGTAAGGGAAAATTATGAAAGGCATACAGTATTTTTAGTGATTGAATAACATAGACTAATAAGAAAGACAAAACTCCACATCCTAATTTCCACTAAATTAACAATACCAACCACAAAAGAAAGGGTATTTTCATTCGTACACTCTCCAAAAAGAAGCATTAGAAGCATCTTATATAACCACATTCTTACCTTTGCAATCTCATCCTTCAGCTTTCTATTAACTGACTTCATCAAACTCATTTATGCACAAAACCTTAAAAGACAATGAGAAAAATGAAAAGATAATTTGGGTGTAAAATACTGACAACAGACTAGATAGTTGATATATAAATGAATTAAGTTCATGAACCATATATTATTCTCCAAAAAGCATATTGTATCATCCAATTCTAGTCAAACTTCTCAGTTGCAAGGTGGGTATGGGGAATATTTGCTTTCCATACATCATCTATGCTCTTAGGCCACTTGATTGGAATCTGTTACAGCAGAGATATTATTATTTAATGCTCAGAACTGAAACCAAAATGGTATATAAGTTCATCTGATTCCATAAATCTATAATAATTCACCTTAGTGATCATTTGAGACTATTTAATGAGATTTTCTCTTCAGAAAAAAAGATTCAAAATTCCAAATGTACGCAAACAATACATATTATACTAAGTTATTTGCAACAAAAATGCTAAATGGCTCCATGTGTCTGCGGAGCTGTTTAGATTGCATATCATAATCATTGATTTAAAAACACAGAGAATACCTTTAGTAGAAAGGAGTGGAGCCATAATTCTTCATTGCCTGCTTTTAATACAACCAAAAACTTGTCTAATAAGATTAGAAACGTTACAATAATGTATTTAAACCAAAACATAAGAATAAAAAACTAACTTGATTTTGCAATAATAGATAAAGTATATCTTTCAGCTCTTAACATCCTCCTCCATTCGTAAATATTTCTCTTGTAAAAGAGACAAGTGGTCATCCCATTTTGATAAAATAGAATATTTTGTCCTGGTCATCCCGAGACCCATTGCTCTCATATGTCCATTCCGATCGAGACCAAAGTAAGAAGCTAGAACACTATTTAGCATATCAATTTCATCGGCAGACAATGTTGGATCTTGTTAACTTTTTTCAAGATTTTCCTAAATATTAAACAACTAATCTTGATTAAAATATGCAGCAAATATTTCAAATATATATATATATAGTAGCTTACAAGAATAAGGGTCCGTTCACTTCGCTGATTCGAGTTTGTAATTCGAGTTGAGATGTGATTTTATGTGAGAGCTTTTTACTGTAGCAAAAAAGTTAGATGTGATTGTTTGTGAGAGCTTTTTACTGTAGCAAAACTCGAATTCTAAACTCGAATTGGTGAAGTGAACGGGGCCTAAATAATTATTATGATAAAAATATACTCTTACAATGACTTCACCGGCAATTGAATTGATAGGTTCACCATTCTTCTTCTTACATGCCTTTGTCCAAATAGACACTCAATTCCTTATCAGTCTTATTACATAGCTCTAATAACAAAATATGAGTTTCTATTAGACTATAAACCTTACAGAAGCTAAAAGAATAGAAAAAATAGCAAATATTCCTTACGAGTCATATTGTATAACTCTTACGACAAAATAAGAGTTTCTATTAGAATATGAACCTTACAGAAACAAAAGCAGAAAACAAAAAATCAAACATTCCTTATCAATCATATTGTACGACTCTAACAACACAATAGGAAACCCAACTACTTGAAATGGTAGTTTAACAAAGTTAACAAACTGAATAAAGACTAATTTTGAAAACTTCAATCTCCTTGTTAGATCAAGGAAAAAATTACAGGGCAAGTCAAATAAATCACTTAGAAGAAATCAAGATTAAATGAAAATGAACAACTACCCAAGCATCAATAATAACATCAATTTAGTATAAGCAAAACATGCATAAAGATAAAAAATAAAAAAAAAGTAGAACTAAACGCTAATTTTTTTAATCTCACGACAAACATCAGTGGAAGTAGAACAGGCGGAGATAACAAGAAGAAATGTCAGATCAAATGCTGAAAGAAATTAAGGAAAATTTGTAGGAATTTCATATTATAACTCACCCAGTTATGAATGCCCAACGGAAGAACAACTACCACACCAAAATGACGAAAGGAGCAATGCCTAAACAATGTCGATGCCCAATAACAGAAGAAATTTATGAGAAAAGTTTGAAATACACAACCATAATGAAGAAACTCGCCAACTTTTGTGCAAAGACACGATGTACAAACAAATTGCAAATCAAAAGCCAAAGAAAATCACGCAATAGTAGAAACACTCACCAAAATCTTTGCAAAGATTCTGACGCCCAAGGAAACAATCCCGCCCCTCGCCAACCCATTTCGTTCCCGGGGGAGTTCTGAGCATCCCACATCTGCCTCGCATGATGGCAGCTCTTCCCCCTTGAGATCCGGACACAAATCGACAACGACGAGGTCCTCCATCGCAGCAACTCTCACGATCTCCGGTCCCAGCCAACAACCCCTCCCCTGGCGGCACGAACCCCAGATTCGTGAAGATCAGCCGGCGATGGCCCTCAGACAACGAACGGCGGCAAGCGAACCGGCAACGCGTCGGCCCGCCGGCCTCGAACCCCTTTTTTTCTCCACTGTTCTTTCTCTCATTCTCTCTCTCAACACTCGTAACGTGAATGTTTGTTTTTTAATTACATGATGTGTCCATGTTTTTTTCCCTTGAAGGTTGGAGGGAAATGAAAATTTTATTCCGCGCTCATTACTTTTGGAAAAATTTTGGGAAAAAAGATTTTCTTTTGAAAGCAGACAAAAAACAAATATTTCCAATATGGATTGTTTGAAATTAAGTAACCCAAAGCTTTAAAATCATCGAATTATTATAAAGTAATAATGTAAATTTTAGATTGCAAAATTAAACAGCTATTATAAACTCCTATGGTAACATTTTTTAAGAAACGCTATGCTTTAGTGTTACCATAAAAGGGGTTTCTTGTAGTGAAAACTATTGATACTTACCAAAGTTTCGCTAATGTTGTGTCATTTGTCTCACTTGATGCTTTCTGACTACGATCGTTAATCGATCCCATTGAATAAATTTTTGATCGTTAGATTCAAAACCTAAGATCAATAATTACATAAAAATTTAATTCGGAAAGGTCTACAATCTCTATGTTTGGTATTCAATCCTAAAATATTTCCTATCTCCACAATGTGCACTAAAATCGTGCACATTTCTCAGTCATGGGCTTAATTTTTAGTTTTGGTCCAGAACTGCGAATTCTCATCATGTTAGCTTTCCATACATCACCAATTATCGAATTGACTTACTTTTCACATCCTAATCCCTTATTCCTCATGAAAACCGGTTTTAGTTTAAAATACTCAAACTAAATTTCGGCAGAGTTTCACCTATTTTTCTAGGTTTCCCGAGCTAACTTTAGCTCGTTTTATCCGTTGATTCTACCCTCAAACACAATTCTCATTATTCTCTTTCAATTACACCATCAACATCATGATGACTAGGGTTTCTCCATATCAAGATTTGCTAGGAACAAAAGTTCAATAACCTAGAATTTATCCTTAATTCACTAGATTTCAAGTTTCCTAACCATTACAAGTAAATCACCAATCTAAGTAAAATTTTTTCCATGCTCTCCCTATACTTCCACGGCAGCCAAGGAAGAGGAAATAAGAGGAAAAACTTGAAATCTCACCTTAAGGAATGAAGAACAAGCTTCAGTGATGTTATTTCTCAGTAATTCCGTCGATTTCCGCTTAAATCACACTTTTTCTCACTTTGGTGAATTTTTTTTCTTTCTTTCTCTCTTGGCTGGTCACTCTCTGTTCTTGTGCATGAAAAATGACTAGTTCCTCATGTTTTTCCCTTAATGAACCGACCATCCAAAAGCTAGGGACCCAAAAATGTAAATTTTGACTTTTCCAAGGACCATTTTGCAAGAAAAGTCAAATTTTTTTCCTTATCTATTAAGCTTTGGCCGGCCACCTCTCCATTTCACTTTCCATGTGCCAAAATCCCATCCTTCCATTCTTTTATCACTTTTAATCTCAACCCTTCATCGATTTAATAATTATCCTATTGTGGTTCAGCTTAATTTCCTGTTTAGTGCGCGTTTTATCCGCGTTTTTCGGACAGTTGGTCAGCTTAGTCAACTTTGACCATTTTGACTAACTTTTTTAAGGCGACATTTTGGTCGACTCTTTGTCAACAAGTTTTGACTCGGTCCACTTAAATCACTCGAAACGGTTCAGCCTTCCGAACTCCTTTTTTCGTCCATTTTTCATTTTGATCGTTTCTATAACCCTAGAATTCTTGTCCTTCAATTCTTTTTCATTTCTTAACCTTGATATTTATGTGTTTACCCACTTGTGGATTTAACACAACATTCTGTGCGTCTTTCTTGAATATAGTTTGAAAATTCGTGACTATATCGCAGTTTAGAAATTTCTGATTTTTAACTTATAACTCACTATTTAGTACTATTATCAACAAGTACTTATCATAGAAGTATTCATATTAATAATACAAAGGATTTCAAGAAATTTTATCTTATACCATAATTCTAATAAATTTCTCAGTCATGACATGTTGTCACGGAGTGGGTCAGTGTTGTCGTCGCACGGTGGACTATCATCGTGGTCATGGGGTTGCTTATCACATAAGGTGGGTTTTGCTCGTGTTAGGTTAGGGTTGTTGGCGACAAACAACAACCTAAATGTAGTTCTTTGAGATTATTTAGGCTGCTTAACAAATCTAGTGGTGATGAGTTGCTATCATTTGTTAAATAGTGGGCATTTTTAAATGAGTATTTATGATTTGAATTTCATAGTAATTGGGTTAAAGAATCAAAATTTCACGAAAATTTGATTTAAAATTAGAGTCAATTTTAATATGATTTTTTGTCAGATGCGTGTTTCTTTTTTTTTTTTTTAAGTTCTTAGATGCGTATTAATATCAATGTAATGGAAGTTTAGAATTTATTTTTTGTTAATTATAGTTAAGAAATATGTCTTAATCATCATACTAATATTCTTGCAGTAATTATCTTTAAATTTTTAGGGCTGATTCCATGAATACCCCTCGAATCATAGACTAATTTCCAGTGCGTGCCCCCTTTATGGCAATGCCGAGTCAACAAATCTGTTATGGAAGTAGACGAAATTTAGCGTTATGACGATTGCCCGTAGAGAAAGGAGTAAAATGAAGTGTTTCAAATATTCAAGTTACATTTTTTTTACCAACCAATCGCATGACCTACATGTCATTAAAAATGTAAAAAAAAAATAAGCATTTCATTTGGGACTGTTCACAACCTCATTCGGTCTCAAACCATTAGATTTTCAGATCGAACGATTATTAAAGATTTCAAACAATTGAGATCGGACCAGACCGTTTATAAGATGAGACCAGACCAGACCGTTAGCATATGGCACAGTCTGGCTAAACTGTGATTTAGACCGTTAGTGTTTTTTATTTTTTTTATTTTTGTTAATTAATAAAATCATATGTTACATAATACATACCATCCTTTAAAATTAACATTTTAAAAGTTTCAAATAACAATAATATGTAATCCAAAACAAAAATTCATAATTATTAACTAATAATGTTACAATCACCCAAAAGTAATGTTGACGGTGATTTCTCGTCAACAAAAACCGGTCGGGTTACCTCTTAGTTTCCCTTTGGATTACCGGTCTGTGTGTTGAATGTGTGTGAAATTTTATTATTTTGGGATGTGCATAAATAAAGAAGACACGAAATTTTATAGTGGTTCACTCTGTAAAATTAGAGCTACATCCACTGTGGTTGTATATTTCTTTTTTGAGGGAATTTACAATTTACATCAATTGATATCTCTCACTCTCTTTTTTTTTCAACCCCCTCCTCGTAGGGGGTCTTCCTCCTTTTATACTAGGCTTTCTTCACTAGGTGGGTTTCCTCCTGGGCAGAAGCACTCAAGTGCTCTCCCTTTTTAGGCCCAGACGTAGCCCACTAATCAGCACTGTTCACTCAGCCAATTAGTCTTCTATTACAGCTCTGTGTGCCCCTGTAACCCTATCATGTTCCCTGTGGGGCGGTTTAAGAGCTTGCAATTAATGCCTGCTGACGTCCCTCATCTTTTGTACGC